ATTTATTTATCATAGATTTCAGAACATCTTGTTCTTTGAAATTTTTCTTTATTTAAAAAAATCCTTTTCTTCAATGCCTTATTGACTATATCCTATACTCTTCCATAGCAATCTATAAACATTTCTATATGCATGTATATTTATAAATATTTCAGTTTCTACGGCATACATAAACTAACAAAAATTTACTATAGTTAACTATAGTTTACTATAGTTAACTATAGTGAAAACATTGACACTTTGATTTACTATGAAACTTTATTCGGGAACTTTTTTGAGATTTCAAAGCTTAGAGTCTCTTAAATTCGATAACAGTTATGTAAAATTTTGCAATAATATGTGAATATACAACTAATACTTAAGAAATAAGGTATCATTTTAAAAGTTTTATCGGGATGTAAATACGGGTTGGTCATGTGATCAAATCCCATAAAGCCCGAAGGGCTTTATGGTAGATTTGATCACATGCCAACCCGTATTTACATCCCGATAAAACTTTTAAAATGATACCTTATTACTTATATTTACATTTGTGACTGATTTATAACAGATAGTAAGGTACTAAAGTTTTAAACCCATAAATGATTTATTTTTTTCAAAACTCAACGGTATAACTTTAATGTGTTGAACACGTCGATCACTTATGACGTCACTATGAAATTACGTAGATCGTTTATGACTAAACAATCAATTTATGGTCACATGACGAACGTGTTTTACACAGGTGTAAAAACGCCTCGTTCAAATAGTGTTATATAAGGGAAAACATTTGCAAATGTAAATATTTCCGTTTAATATGAAAAATGTGCATATATGTATTAAAGAACAAAAAATATAACAATCTGAAATCCATAGTAAAAACACTTTGATTTACTATACTTAAAAACTTTGAAACTTTAGTAAACTATAATTAACTATGGTATTTTTTGTTAGGGTACTTACACTGGTGATTGAAACATTTTTCATTATTCCTCTTGCCATACAAATCCTTGCAAAATTACTACCACAAATGTCACATTCAACCTACCAATGTACAACCGTTTTCAAAGTATTTTAATTTAAAAAAAAAAAAAGAAGAATGAATGTCCGGTAGGTATGAGGACGACTATACTTGATTCAAATAAAGTGGGAGAGAGATAGTATGTTGTTGTTAGTTAGGTTGATAAGTGCGAACATGAGACAATGAGTGTGATTTCGTTGGTGGGATAGTTAATTTTACAAGTGCTAAACGGGTATGACACTGCATCTCACGAAAACTTCAATGAATTACTACGCCCATTCATAAATACCACTCTTTATCCCACCAATTGCCCCAACACATATCCTTTTATCTGAGAGGTTAAAGTTTCTCAACTTCCGGTGCACAAAATCACTACGGGTATTTTGAATGATTTCGGATGCAAATCTCGCGTGATTTGTCTGCGTGTATAGGAATCTTGTCAAAATTGTTTTGTTTTCTTGGTGTTTCTTTAAGTGACGAGGCTTTAGATTCTTTATTTAAATATTCAGATAACATAGAATATTGATCCTGGCATCTTTACTTAAGCATCCTGTAGACCTTGAGGGAGCAATTCACTCTCAACACGTCAAACTGTGGAAAACAGATTTTTTCATCCTTGAAGGTAATAATTTTATATTTATTTGTCACCTTGTTTTTAATTCTCTAAGGAGATACACTTAATGAATATAAGTTAGGTTCAATAAATCTTCTTGTTTAAATTATTATATCCAAAATAACATCTTTCATTTAATCAAACAATTTAAATCAATTAAAACCTTGAAGGTCAAAGAACTAGACAGTAAGATCAAATAAACTCATTTTAACTCTTCAAAAATATACTTCTAAATTTTATCCATCTTAAAATAGTACAGGTAAAGAAAAACATACTAGTTTAGCATAAATGCACTTGGGAAATTTCTTTTTCTATAAAATCATTCAAGATAAATTATTAACCTCTTAGTTAGATCAGATATGTTCTTACAGCTCGTCAATAATGTCCAATACCTGAAGAATTTTTTAATCGACAGAAAGTCGAAAATAACATTCAAAAGCGATTTGTCAAATTGTTTCAATTCCTTTTTCTATGTTTGGTCATTACCATGAAATAATAAATTGATTAAATATATTTCGAAAAATAGTTAGTCATAAGTCAGTGTTTCTCAAACAAATATTCTTTTATGGAGTTAAAGTATATCTTATCTGCTTTTTGAGAGCAAATATATTTTGAATCTAAAAAAATTATTTATGATATTTTTGGGTTTAAATTATTGTTGACATATTGATGTATAATGATTTCAAATCTTAAAAAAACACAGGAAGTTTTTTGCAGGATAAATCAGTTTTTTAATCATTCATTTGAATTTCAAGATTTTGTAATTGCAATTGGATCAAACAGAAATCTTTTTTTCTTTTAGTCAATTATCTCTTGCATTAAAAATAAGTTAATAAATTTTAGATGAATTTGATGTGGGTATGAATTTATCATAAACGTGGCCTTGTGCGAAAACTGATCCCTGTTAAATTTGAAAACATCCTTTAAAAGTGTCAAAGAATGGTTTTCATAAAATAGGGTTGTTGTAAGTCAAAGAAGAAAATTTTGATTTATAGGAGAAATATTTTTTAAGATATTTATTAATGTTTGTAAAGGCAGATCAAATAATTTTAAAAAAAGAATTTCCACATGTCAAAGTTTGATTTATCAAACATGTTTAACGAAAAACCGAAAACCAAACTCAATGTAATGAAGTCCCTTTGACACCCAATTAATTAATCATAAAATCGGTATTATTCAACATTAAAAGACAGACGTAGTGCATAAAATGAAATTTCCGTCAAAGTAGACCAATTTTGACCTTTTGAGATTTCCTTTTTTTTAAGTAACAACTAAAATGATGTACAACGTAGTTAATACAACTTCAGTTTTCTTCCTTCAAATAAATCCAGGAAAATAGGTCAACTTTGAGGGAACTAATTGTCATATGTGACGAATCAGTTTAATCTAGTTTTCAGAGAAGAACTAAGTTAGAACAGTATAAAACTAACTGTCTGAGCCTATTTTCTTCAAAGCATTTGAAATATTTCAGGACACAGACAACTGATATTGGACTTAGAAAGGTACTGTGACTAATTTAAAAAAAAAAAAAACTTAAAGATTTACCTGAGAGGAGGATAATATTATTTTTGTATAAAAAACGTAATTCTAGATTTCACGTTATTTAAGTAAAAAGAAAATAATTTTAGAATAATTTTAACGTAACAAAAACAATCTTTAAAATTAATTTCGACTCGGCAACATGATTACTAATTTGTTTTTAACAGAAAAAAGTGAAAGTATTTTAAAGCAGAAAATGCAATATTAGAAAATCTTTTTTTTACAAAAAACACAGCTTGGAATTAAAACTCTTATCATATATTTATAACAAAGTACAATTCATGTATGTTAATCAAATAAAAATGTACATTGTTACTTGTAATTGTAGGCACATCAATATATGTACATCATTGAAAATCGTTTATACTTTAACAAAACACATTGTGGAATGCAGAATTGAAAGTTTACAACAAAAAATAAATAAATAAATAAATAAATTTAAGATTAAATTAATTGAATTCTTTTGCATTATACAGAATTATGTTAATAATTTAAAAATGGCGGTAAAGTTCTTATCATTAAATACATACTGGAGATTGTCATTTAAGTAATCATATAGTAATTTGACAATAGTTTTTCATTCAATTAAAATAATTCCTTTTTACGCAAAAGTTTTTTTTTTAATTTGTAAAATTTCTTCAAAAATTAATATATGATTTTTTTTCTCGATTTCATGATATATTACATTCATAACGTATTTGTTCTTTTCTTGAATTTACTAATTTCAGCAAATATAAAATGCAGTCAATTTAGATTCCCAAGCACGTAAATAATTAATTGATTAACTTGAATAATATTGTTTAACTTATTTTGTCTGACAACAGCCTTGCATAAGAAGATGTTTATTAGGTTTGCATTAGGTAAGAATTGAAAGAATGTAAAAATTCCTCTCTATTTCTGGAAGTATTGACGGGAATGGTAGAATGCCAGCAAGTGCATAGACCTTTGATGCCTTTATAAATATTGCAAAATTGTTATGAAATACAATAATTAACTACAGTGTACATTGAGTAAATGTCATAATCTAATTGTTATCTCTAATTAACTTTTTAACAGACTAAGAAATTTCTGCATTCAAAAATTAAGACAGTATTTTATTTTCAGAAAAGAACGGACTTTTAACATAGCACTACGTGGTTCTTTTTCAGTTTTTTATATGTATGAAATACAATATATAATCTAACACGGTCATTAATATTGCAATTGAAAAAAGTATAAGGTTTAACAAAATTCCTAGAGAGGTTTTATCTAAATTCAAATTTTAAAATCTATTCCAAATATCGATTTTAAATTTGCACAGATTTTGTTCGATTACAAGTAAACAAACAAACAAATTATCAATAGGAAAGGATAAGGGTTGGTCTAGCACAATGGATATTTCTCGGTCCAGCACTCTCCGATAGGTCGATTATGCTACTCAAACAAGTATCAGTTTTATAACCTTATCTCTAGGGTTCGTGATTTTAACAATAATGTATCAGATTTTTTACCCAGAACACAGAAGAGAATTGATCTTTTATCATGGGGGCGTCTAACAAAACAATTCTATCAAACACATCATTTTTTTGAAGGATAACCTCTCATTATACATTTTCTTTCAATTCATTTACTTTAAAATTTTGAAAATGTCATAATTTTGTTCAATGATGTGTTATGTTATAAAAATTTTTAGTTTGTCAAAACCGAATTACAATTGGGATCTTTTTTTTTTAATTAATGCATAATTTTATTCACAAAAAGTGAATGGGATTGAGCAGCAGACATAGCCTATATTAAGCCTCTTCCTATATAAGTGCTTCGTATTTTCTCTGCAGAGTGCATTATTTTGTGTGAGATTTATCAGAGGAAATGGACTTTGAAGAATATAGACTTAGAGGTAAGAAAGATCCATTATCTTTGTCTCGTCTGACATTGTATTGTATCTACTTGTTGCGTAATTTACCTAGGACCATATCCAGAAGATGTGGGTATTTTCAGACTAAATATGCAAGGAACGTTCACACAACACAAATTTACAAGAACCTGCGAAGTTGGTGTGAATATTATATATATACTATACCGGTATACTATCAGGTTTTTTTTTAATTAAATGGAATGATTCTTTGTCAGTGTCAGAACGTTTTGTACCTTAGAATATTTCTAATCCACAGCCATTTTACATTACTATTGAGTATCGACAATGTATTTTTAGTTTTTATATTTTGCTTAAACATCTTATAACACTTTTGAAAATATCTTTTCTTTATAAATATTAATGGCAAGTTTTCCCCATTTTTAATTTTTCGAGTGTCGTACAAAATAATATGCGCTAACGTAAAATCATTTACAAAGTTCTATTTTTATTTCTATGTAATACAGTATTGTTACACTCAATATGTTGGAGTGTATTATTACACTGGATGTATTGGTATGAATATGATAACGAAATGTTTTATTCTTTTCACGTTCATTTTAATTTGTTTTGGAACTTCTAATACCGCAAAAGGCTCGTTTATAACTCTGCCAGTTGGATTTTCAGTATAATCTCGCTTGATATGATTAAAAAGGAAACCTTTATTTTTTTAAGGCATTTTCAAAAAAATGAAAAAAAAATCGATTTTGCTACTCAAGCCGAATAAAGACCCTGCATAAAAAGGTAATATTTCATTCACAAAATTACACATTACAATTCTACTGAACTACCTGCAATGCACTCTATGTGAATAGTAAGGCAATAATTTCGTCTGTCGTAGAATATCTTTTCCTTTATCAAATCACTAAATGAAACATTTGCTAAGTAGCTGGATAGAAAAGAACATTATATAAACTCAGGTAACTGTGCATTAATTAGAAAGATAAAAATCCAAAATGAAATAATGATTCACAGAACATTGAATCTGCTATACCTCAATAGAAAAGTCTATGGGAATCCTGTTGAGAGGAATCAATTGACGCCGATGTCGTAAAACATTTTCTATTGTCGTAAAACAGTTACAGGACGGATATTGGTAATAAAGATTTAATTTCCTTTATTTCTGCTGTGCCATTGATTCATTCATGAACAAATATTGATCTTTAAGATCTACACAGCATAGGAAAAAAAAGAAATGCACACACGTTGTAACCTTATGTAAATCTTACAAAACTGTAAACTGTTGTGTTCGTCTATAATATTTAAATGATAAAATAAATTTAAATAATAATAAAAAAGATTAAAGACAAGAGATATATACATTGTATTTAAATAAAGGAAACAAACGAATTAATTCTTTCATACAATCTTTGTTTTTTTTTTCTATTTTTCCAGAGAATTCTTGAAGCTTTTACAACTAGTATTTGTTTTCTGGACGAATTGTATTTAAAGGCACATATTTACATATACAATAAATGCAAGAGAAACAAATGGCAATACTTGCGTTCCAAAACATGCTTTTATACTGGTTTTGGGGTATTTTATTTACACATTTTAGTATTATTGCAAATCTTTTTCAAAAGCCAATTTGAACATTTGGGTTTTGGGATCTTCTCCTAACCTTCTTGTAACTTTGGTTATTCATCTTATGCACAAAAAAACATAAACATAATTTACAGACACACATTCTCAAAACTCATAGCATGGTATTAATTTTCTAAATATTTTTCTCTTGTTACAATAATCCATTTTATCTTTGTTAATGGAGTTTTAGGACAATTAATATAGAAATGTAAAAAAAAAAATTAAAAAATAAAAGACCAGCCTGATTAGTTCAAGTGGTATTGCCATTTTTCACTGTCAGATGAACTTTCGATAAGATCGTTGATAGGATCATTAATTGGAGAATTAAATTGACCTACTGAAGCGGATCATCTATTTTCAGAACAACCCTGTCAATACTTGGTTCCGATAATAGCCTCAGTAATGGGGACTCTTGCAGGATCCGATCCGATTGTTGTTTATTTTCCCTCCTTTTTCGACGTACCTGGTGTTTCACTATCATTTGCTTTGCTAGTAAGGAATTTCACAAAGCATACAAACTGTCCAAACAAGAAGACATTCATCATTCAAGATTCTTAGTTACAATGTCTTTGATATGTTAAGGACATACGCAACGTATTTTTGGACTTTATATTCTTATTTCCTGTATAATTCAAAGTTCAAATCGTTGTCGGACCACTGTGCGACTTTTATAATGTCTAATGATGTTCCACACATATTCTAAAACAACTTTTGAGGAAATACAAGCTAAAACGCTATGTTTTGTAAATTTTATACATATTTCAACGAGTAACATAAGGATTTTAATCTTTTGATATCTGTCAAAATTTCTGGTAATTTTTGTCGAAGAACTGATGAAACCATGATTTTAAATTAAGAATATCTTGAAAAAATATCTACATGTATAGGTAAGATACGTTTTAAGGTACGTGGGATATGACTTAAGTATTAATTTACATAAATATTGATGAGGAGCATCCAAGAACAAGAAAAAAAAAAGAACTCTCAAGAGACAAGGACAAGGAGTCAAAAATTCTTTAATAATATAGTATTCTTCTATGTGTGCATAGACAAATGTACACCGTAAATGCATATCCATCCAAGATTGTCTTTTGATTGATAATGGTTAATGATATAATCAAATTCAAAGTTAACTAATGTTCGTATATTAATGAATTGTATTTTAGGAAAAGAAATGGTTGATTTCATTGCTGAATATCTTAAAACGATTCGGTCTAGGAGGGTGTTCCCGGATGTATCTCCAGGTTATATGCGCACACTCGTGCCGGAAGCTGCTCCCGAGGAGGGAGAAAAATGGGAGGATATTTTCAGAGACATCGAGCGCGTCATAATGCCTGGCGTAAGATTCCTGCGTAAATTAATTATTGATCTGTTTCATAAAAGACATTTTCCTCTTTCATACTTCATTCCTATTCAAAAAGACATTGAGAGATATTTTTGTCACTAAGCACACTTAATTCATAAATCCATTCCTCAAAATATTTTCTTATGTTCATATTCCCTCGTGACTTTTTGTCCTTACTTTTTTAGGGGGGGGGGGGTGTTCTGCATTTTTTTTCTACTGTTTTTCTATTGTGTTCAAGTGGTTTTTATTTTGCTTTTGATTTGTTCAGAAGCATCTCTTCTAATCACGTCAGTGTACGCGAAAATAAGTATTTTTTAATCAAGAATCAAAGTCTATAATACATGTAGGAGTCATTCATGAAAAATATGCAGTATTAAAACAACTCGTTTTATTAACTAAACTGAAATTAAACAATTAGTTCAAGTACTAGTATATATGCCTTAAGAGTTAACATAATGATTACAAAATTCTGAACATTTTATTCATTACTTTTTCCATCCTACGAAATTTAATTCATATTTATTAATCTTTAATTTTTCTTGTCTTAAGAATATCTTATTGAATATATTTCAAAGATAGGAGACACAAAGTTAAAAAAAATGATAGCCTTCCCTTTACACAATAATAGCTGTTTAGAGTTCATACAAAATAATTTGGATTTTTTATCGTATACATAGAAAAATAATATTAAAAGGATAATATTTGTATAATATCATGATTTATGATATTATTCTTTTTTCTCATTTATATTCCATATTATTATAGGTAAAAAGAATATAAAAGATGAAGCTGCATGTATAATCAAAACAAATATGATCACTAATAACATTTCCATTTAAAGATAAGCATTTAATTGTCATCCCACAGCAGTTAAAATGCATCATGTACATATCATTATCTATAAGTATAATATGGAACAATGTTTCCTATAGCTGGTACACCAATTCTATAATAAAAAGAAAAATTTATCTGTGAATCAAAACAAAAAGCAAAAAAACAAAAGAACACAAACATATATACGTTATATTTACGTTAAATACGTATAATGTATGTATATATATCGTATATACGTATAATAGGAATACGTTACTAATTTGTATTTTGGATTTACAGGTGACACACTGGCAGAGCCCCTACATGCATGCTTACTTTCCTGCCCTGAACTCCTTCCCTTCCTTACTAGGAGACATGTTAGCAGACGCCATTGGTTGTCTTGGATTTACATGGGTACGTAACCTCAGTATACTTTAGATTCAATGTGTTTATTAATTCTGTTAATTAAAACTAGTTTTCATTATCAATTTTACGTTTTTTTCTCTCTCTTCACAAGAAATCTTAATTTTTGTGTCTTTTTTTCAAAATCACAGAGAATAAATCTCAATACATATTTGCAATTCATTACAAATAATCACTTTCGTACTATTTATTTTATTGTAAAATATCACCTTTATGTGGCCCCTGAGATAATTACTGTCTGACTTATAGGCTTCTAGTCCGGCTTGTACAGAGCTGGAGACTATTGTAATGGACTGGCTGGGCAAAATGATTGGGTTACCAAGCGAGTTCCTTCACAGCAACAAACAGAGCAGAGGTGGCGGTGTCATTCAGGTATAGTCAAGTCATATACATAGTACAGGTATGTCGAAGCTTTTACAAGAGGGGGCGGGGTCGTTCAAGTGTACTCTAGATATACACAATATAAGTATGTCATACGTTTTACAAGAAGAGTAATGGTTCATGAATAAAAAGAAAAGATAAACATAAATTGGTTGAAGGTATTACAACAGGAAATGGGGTCATATAGATATAAAAAGACACACATAGAAACTAAAGCTATTAAAATAGGAAGAGGGTTTATTCAGTTACCTTCTTTGCAAATACAATCTGTCCGTGGTTTTGACACTGAATTTGAGGATTTAATTTCCGTTTATCGATCATGACAAGAACCACACGGTGGGTGTGACCGGTCGGCAGGGGATGCTTACTACTTTATGGAACCTGATCCCACCTGTTTTCAGAGGTCCTTGTTGGTTCTGCTCATAATTTTTAGTCTAAATGAACGTATGAAAATTATCAGTGTTAGATATCTTCACATTACATTTCGTATATTTAATATATATACAATAATGTTGAAGTTGCCACATAAAGTATAGCTGATTTCTCCACTATATATTAGCTTATCTTGTTGGAATGCTTACTGCTTTAAACTTGTTCGAAAAATCAAGAACTCACATCCTAGCATAAGGACTCAAACTATTTCAAGGATAGTATAAGAATGCATAAACTGTTGAATTCATATAAGAAAACCTGTTAAACTTTGATAAGGCTGGACTTTGAAACTTGAACCTGTACACAGAAAATTCTGAATACATGCTTGGATACAGTACAGATATATGACATGTTAAATTGTTTATATGTAAATGACAAACAAGCATCTTACCTGGGATGACACATGAAAAGCCAATCACAAACTTCAATCCGGTCCCTCGGATGAGACCGTACGTATAAACCGAGGTCCTGTGTTGCAGTAGGTGCTGGCAAGCAAAAAATCTCTCACTGCTCCTTGGCTTTGAATGCTGAGTATATGTCTAGATTTGCTGTCCTCCAGCGGCAAGTGTTGACGTCTAGTCATATGAGTGAAAAATTCGCGAGAGGGACGTTAAACAACATACAAACAAACGAACTTCAATCATGTTTACTCCAACAAGTTCAAATGTTTCTAAAGAAAGCGCAATTGCAGGTTTAAATTCAGGTTATATTTGATTATGTAAATATTGGTCATAATTTGACTTAAATGTAATGATTTATAACATGAAGATAACAGTATCTGTAAACCAGTTAACTTTTTTTTCTAGTTGACGGCTTCTGACTGTACGTTCATCACGATGTTAGCAGCGAGAACAGAGGCATTTCAAAATTACAGAAAAATAGACCCAAACATCGACGAAGCCGAAATTAACGCGAGACTTGTGGCCTATTGCTCTGATCAGGTATATAAGTGATAAATTATAGAAATTCGATTCATTCTTTTGTTTGTGATATTTATATTCTAGTAGTGATACATACTAAACACACTGTTTGGTTTATTTTTCTTTTACACTATCCATTATTTCTTGTTAGTTGAAATACCAAATAAATACTGAAATTAATGCATCTTGAGTGATGGATTTATAGAGGTCTGAATTCGAAAAGGGGGTAAAACAAACGTGTATATTGCATGAAATACCTCGTAAGCAATTTGATAATCAGGATATTCTGAACACTTTATAATTTAAAAACAAAAAGAGGTTTTGTTTACATATGTATACATTAACAATGTATTTTAAATCATAATAATTCCACTATGATAAAAAAAAAAAGATATTTGATTATTATTCTTATTGAGAAAGGTTGATTGTTTTGTGGTTTTTTTTTTAATTCGTTCTTCCTATTTAAAATATATATACTTATACAGATTTAAATTGACGTGCTTATTCTATACATTATACTTTTCCTGTTGAAAATGACATATTTATTGGCTGCTTAACTGTCATATTTATCATATCAAATTGTCGACCATGTGTCAGCTTTACGATTCATGAATATCAAATACTCTTACGCAGGCGCACTCCTCTGTGGAAAAGGCGGGGCTTATTTCTTTGGTGAAAATGCGTTACCTTTCAACGGATGATGAATTGAGTTTGCGTGGCCACACCCTCCAAGACGCCATAGCACGTGACAAGGAAGATGGACTCATTCCATTTTATGTGAGCCATGCATGGGACATATTTTTATATTTCATAAACACAGCCGGAAAAGTTGATTGTCATTTATAAATTATAATATTATAATATATTCTACATGTACATCTTCTCAACCATTACAAATCACACGATCATTTTAGCATTACATTATTTTTTAACAGGTGTGTGCTACACTTGGAACCACAGGAGCATGCGCATTTGATAATATTAAAGAACTTGGAGAAATCTGTAAGTTATACATTGCAATATAATTTTAGATAGGCCTATAGCAGATTTATTGCTTTTACAATCAGAACTAAAACCTGTGTAACGTTGGGGACAGAATTCAAAGTATTTTATCAACCTGTATTGAAAAAGTCCAGCAAAGCACAATTATAGAAGAATATTTTGCAACTTTAGGCGAAAAAGAGGGTTTATGGATGCACATTGATGCGGCTTATGCTGGTACAGCCTTTATTTGCCCGGAATACCGGTCATATATGGAAGGAATCGAACTCGCAAGCTCATTTGCCTTTAATCCGTCCAAATGGATGATGGTTCATTTTGATTGTTCTGCCATGTGGTATGATATTTGGTTCAAACAAAGAAGGTTATTGTAGAATTAAGATAGTATTTCTTAAAGGGATATGACTTTTTTTTATCCTTTTGGTTGGTGAATAAATCCTAGACATTCATTGTTCGATATTTAAAGGATACTCTTTTCTAAAGATGCATTTGTAAAAAAAAGATATAAGCATATGTTCTGTATCATTAAAAATTTTCTGTTTGCAATCATTTATATGTAATTTGCTCTCTGCTTATGCCAGGTTTATATGTATATATTTATACAGCAATTTTAAATATATCTTTTATATACACTATTACTCGATATTCAGTATCCGAAAGTGCATAAATGTGGGCTTCTTACAATTAATCTTTAGTTGGCCCTACTAAGGGAATTAACTCAATAACACTGTGAATTTATGTATATTGTAGTATTTTTTCAAGTTTCTTCCAAGTATTCTACACTTATCAATGTGAATAATTCATTCACAGGGTTAAAGACTGTAGGGCTCTACACAGAACATTCAACGTGGACCCCTTATACTTAAAACACGAGAATTCAGGTATTTCTAGAATATTACACTGTTTCAGACCCTATTTACAGCGTAACCATTATTTTTAGCGTAACCAGTAACCTTGGAACTGCAATGCACGACACGAACAAGAAATCTGGTATTTATATATAGACATGATGCACTCTGATAGAATAAAAATGGCAGAAAACCTAATTTAAGAAACACTCGGTAAAATCTTAAAAGCTCATATAATTATCTTTTCACAACAGAAAGCATATCCGATATCAAATTAGTGTTAATAGGATTAAAAATTATTTTTGATTTACCGTTCAAGTACCTTCGAAAACAGAACGTTCAGCTCCCTATTTGCTCTCGAGCACAGAAATATCAATCCAGATCAGTCGATTGATAGATTGGCTTATAAATCTCTCTCGTCAAGACGCTTCTTTTGGTGGAGATGGATGGTTTCTGTCATTACAGTCGCTCTATCACAGCACTCAGCCTCGGTATCAGTGTCAACAGAGAACAGGTCCGCACTAAATCCGATCCGCGTTAATAGTTAGATTAAAATCTGTTTTTGGATATCGGTTTTCTTTTAATTGTAGGGACACATTTCTCAATAGCTATTAGGTTTTCAAAGTAAGCATGTTGTTCTTTTAAGATCTGTTTGTTAGAAACAGGTGCAGTCCGAATGTATTAAATGAATATTTTTACTGTTACTTTTGTTTTGATATTTTATTTTTTAATCTTTGAAAAAAAAAATCTTTAAAAATGAAAGCATATGTTTACCAAATAAATTCAGACTAATCAGTTATCGATGTTTTTGTTTCTATTTAAAGGTGCTGCCATTGACTACATGGTAAGAGAAAATTTATGAAAAATTTGGGTTTTTTTTTTTCTTCGTTTCTTAAATAGTTTTACGAAATATTTGAATAATATAATTATACTAACTGAAAATTTCTACTTGGCATCAAAACCTTAAATATAGATGTAACAAAGTGTACAGAAATTAAGCGTAAGTTTAATCTGACATTTTTCTATGCATATCTATAGCACTGGCAGATTCCTCTAAGCAGGCGATTCCGAGCCCTAAAGCTATGGTTTGTGATCCGCTCCTTTGGGATAGAAGGTCTTCAAAAGCACATCAGAGAAGTATGTTGAAAATACAGAAATAAGAATAATTAACCACATTAGCCAAAAGATTAATTAAGTTTTATTAATTACTTGAGGTACACATTTTAAGATCTTCCCTTTTCTAGTTTGTAAATATTTTTTTCTGTATTATTTTTTTTTCCTTTTGCTTTCATTTAGGGAGTCAGACTTGCTACTAAATTTGAAAATCTTGTCAGAAAAGATCAAAGATTTGAGATTCCAGCCGCTAGAACTTTAGGAATGGTTGTTTTCCGATTATGGGTAAGGCCACAATATTTAAATTTAAATAAAAAACAAAACAAAAAACAACAATAAAAAAAAACAGGAAAACAAAAAAACAAAAAAGACAAATTAAAAAAAACAACAACAAACAAACAAGCAAAGACAAAACAAAAAAATTGTTTACAAAAATATTGATATTATTTTTCACTTAGTATGCTTCATAAGTAATTTTCTTAATTAAGATCAGTTTTGTGTGCACTGGGCAGAATCAGTACATTTTGTAAACCGATGCCTCTATAGTGTAGAGAAAATTATTTATAGGGTGATTTTTAAATTTAATCAGAAGTCAAAATTGATTTCATGGAACATTTGTCAGTTCTTCATTTTTAAACATAGATTAAAAATTTATTAAGGAATTATGTTTCCAATTCAATGTATTCCTGTTTTACATTCACTTTTTCCGATACTTAAAAGGGTGAAAATGAAATGACGGAAACCTTGCTGAAAAGACTGAATAAATCCGGAAAAGTCCACATGGTTCCAGCCTCTTTGAAAGGAAAATATGTCATCAGATTTACGGTGACATCTCAATACACCACAGACCAAGATATTGAGCGGGATTGGAAAATAATTTCAGACACCACCACTAAGGTAGCCAACCATTATGTGCTTGATTGGATCCCACTACATTCATAAATAACTCAGTATGTTATTTTGATGTCCAGTATAATGAAAATTTTGACAACGCTCTGCAAATGCAGAACAAAAGGGTGTACTTCTCAACAAAAGAATTCTTTTCAAAGCTTTTTCTAATTATTTAGAAATGTATTGGTTTTTTCGGCTTCGTAAGGATAGTAGTATTGGTTTTTTGAATGTCATACAAAATGTCAAAATTTGAAATAGAATGAATGGGCTGGACAGGGGAGTATCAGTTTAATCCTCTCTTTATCTCATTCCCTTCTCCCCTTTCTTCCTTGCCCTCGTTATCAAATTCCTTTCTTCAAAAACCCCTTTTAACCTACCCCCTCTCCACAAACAGACACAAATTAGGCACAACTTTTTTCCCAATTTTCTTGGTATTTACAGGTACTACAAGACACAGAGTCGGAGGAAGATGAAGCCTATAGCGATGAGGAGGTATCCAGTCCTGAAGTGGAGGAGAAACAGTTTGTCAGGTAAGTTTTCTAATTAGAGTGTATCTTATAATAAATACATGGCAAGATTTTAGCTACCCGTAATCAGGCTCCAGGCCATACACTCGCATAAAGCTCACTTGATCGCATTCTCTCGTTTAGAAAAGGAATACTTGTATATAGCTATATATAGTGGAAAAGTGAGACTGAGATCAAAAGTGAGCTCATCTATAAGTCTTATGTCCCCGGAGCCCGGCTCACTTTGTTTTGATTTATTATTTGTTTTCATTGTTCTTTTTTTCTCATTTTATATTTCATTTTTCATGATAGACAAGAATATGAAATTCCATGTCGATGTTGTAGTAAGCTTACCAAACAAACCCTGTTATCGCCTTCAAAGCTTTCGACTGCTCTTGATAGAATACATCTTATTCGTTCATCATCAACTTCATAGTGAATATTCTAAAGAAATATAGGTAATATTCCATCTAATTTATTCAACAATAATTAGAAATTGCACAAAATATTGATTGAAAAATTTCTAGAATGTTTCAAATTTCAGAAGCAATTAAAATTAATGTACAATTTTTTTCCACTAAATGATGAGTGAAGTTTACGCATATTTGGATTTGACACATATTATCTTTTGTTTAAACCATGTGATATTCACATTCCTTAATCTTCTTTCGCAATCCTCTTTTTTAAATGTATGATTAATAGATTGACCAGGTCCATTCCAAACGAAACATTTTTATCTATTTATATGTAGATTAAAATGTATAGCGTGAATTTTGACAGAGCTTATTTATACTTCATGTGCATCTCTGTAATAGGTCTGTCGTGTTGTTTTAGTTTCTCTAACATCTACATGTATATCTTGTAATCCATTTGATACATAAAAACTTATTCGATGTGTTAAATGCATGCAAATTAAAATGGACATTCCAAAATCATCAAGAATATGACTGTATGAATAAATTTGAATATTTTCATTTTGCAGAGTTCCGTCCATTAAAAAGCGAGAGTACGGTATGAGTCTGCTTTTAAGTAACGTCCCTATGTCCCCAAAACTAATCAACGGAAGTTTCGCAGCTTTGTTTGATGACAACGAGGCTATGGAGGAAGTAGCCAAACAAATTTCTGCCGACAACGCTGAACACCTTATCCCTCTGTCACCAAGGAGACGCAAACTCAGGGACCAATCAAAACAGCAAAGTCTAGACCAGACAACCATGACTGAGTATTTCCTAAGCAACTCTTATAAACACCAGGGGTCGCTCGATTCTAAACTTGATGAAATAATCAACAATCCTTCATTCTCAGAAATGCGCATGAATGGAACTCAGATGGATGACGTATTTGAGTCGGAAGAGGAGCATGGACAAAGTCAACAAATCATGGAAGCAAAGCATAAATTCTGTCCAATAGAATCTAACGATGACGTTTTCTACAACGAAGAGGGAACGCAGACCGAAAATAATCGAAACGGAATAAGTTCAGAACCAAATAAAAAGTTGACAATATTGCAACGTAAGAATCCCAACATACGGCTTCAGATACCGGATATGAGCGTTTTGAGCATGCGCAATATCTGTCCTCATTGTGGAAGCCGTGCTAGCATGTCATAAATTTATTTTTTCGAGGACAGAAAGTTTGACCTGTATAATTCATTTTCCATTCACTTTTTGTTGCCTATATAGATATAATGTACAGTATAAGGGAGATAATATTTCATTATTTGGAATTTGTGTAGTCTGTATAAGTATTGAACTGTCTGCGTTTTTACTAGAATTTGCTACAGGACATATGTAAATATTATTTTTCATGATATATTAAATTAAATTACGCTTTTGTATAAAGTTTAAATAACTTGATTTGACGCATATCTGTTGGTCTTTGACTACATGTATTTTGATATCTTTTTGTACATATATGTACATACATGTATATGTATTTTTACGTATCTTATTAATACATAGGCATATTGAATCATTTATTCAAAATGAGCTGTATTGACGTACTCCATACTATTTGCTTTGTGTTTAAATATGCATGTATGTATAAAATTTATCACCCTATCTTCTGACAAATACGCAAGTGATATTAAATGAATTCAGTGAACACAATTTCACCTTGCTTGCTCGCAAATATATATTTTTCACAAGTCTTTTACATATATGGAATAAAGTGCATACGAATAAATAATAATACCAGTCTTGGTTTTGTTTTTTGTTTAATTATTTAAACTGGGGAAGGAGTCCAAATCAGTAATATTCAAAGAATTTCTTTTCTTTTAAATTTTCATTTTACACAAAATAATGTCTGTTGCAATTACATGTAGTTTACGTTTGGCCTGTACATATTAGCTGAATTGTCTGCATCAGGACTATAAAGGAAGCAAAAAAACTTTTCTGAGAGATCCTTGTAGAGGAACAATTGTATGGAAACAATACAATGCTTGAAACACTTTGTAATCATATTTCACTACACACGTACTCATTTCAAGCTGAATGTGAAATTCAAATTGAGAAGAGTCAAAGCATATTCTAGGTTATAAAAAAGAAGATAGAGGCCTATATTAATATTTAAAAACTCCGATAAGAAAATTCAATTTACAACAGAATTTGGGGAAATTAAATGAAGTTTCCTTTTCTGGCAATACCAATTAAGATTTTTAAAAAATCACTTTCATTAGTTTTTTGGTCAATTTGTCATACAGGGTGGACCTGTCCTTAAAAAAAGTTTGAGTACCTTTTTATTAAATTAGACGTTTATCTAGTTTTTTTTAACCTTACATGGTCTGTGTTGTATAGGGATATATGATACAGAAAAAAGGGGTTCGAAAATATGGTCCGGACGGTGCATTCGGTTTCCATAAACCAAAGCAAAGCAAATTTTTTTTTAGAGAGAGAGAGAGAAAGATAGGTGGCATATAATTTTTGACTCAAAAGGAAAATCTGTATAATTTTTACAGACCATTGTACGCCTTGTATATCAAGTATTTGCACCTCTGTTATTTTCAGATGGATTCAGTTGGGGCGGATCGAGAATTTTCAATGCTTTTGAAAAAGAAACAATACATGTAGTCAATCTGTGATTTCAATAGCATAAACATTAACTTGTAAGAGAGAAAGGCGCTGGATGTCCTCATCTTAAGCTGATACTTGGTCGTACATCAATAGGGTGGGATGGATCTAGTGGCTATTAAAGAGACATTTACGCATTTCAGGAGGGGAGGAAGTCGCTTTATATTCCTCGTCGGAACCCATGGGTTCATTCGGCAAACCTCGGCCGATTCCGTCACCTTCGGCCTAGGTGTGCCGAGTGCCCATGGGTTTTTTCTCGATCACGTTACACAACATTCAACTGGAATATAATGTAAAGGAGAGAAAATCCGTGGGTCCAGACGTTGCTTTATCTTATACAGTAAAGATGTGCGGCATTAAAAAAAATATCCCAGAGGATTAAGAAAATATCTGGAAATACGCAAGATATATTAAGGTTACAATAAATAAAATTCTAATGATTGTATTCCACGTATTTTGTAACCACGGTTCAATCCATTTTAACTATCAGGGTTTTGTTTGTAGTAAGACGCTTTTTACATATACAAGGTAAATTAACACAAACATTACAAATAGATAAGACAGTAAGGACATACAAAGACAACATTTTTTCGTTTCTAAACTTAAAAGCCAAATGCAAAAAAAAAAAAAAAAAAAAAAAAAAAAAAAAAAAAAAAATCCAAAATTACAAAGCTTTACAAAAGATTTGGACATTTCATAGTTGTACAAATTTAAATGAGGGAGTTTTTACCCAGTAATAAATTAGAGATATATATTAATATTTAACGCTCAAGTGTTTGTATGGAGAACAAATCAATACAAAATGAAATCCGTCTTCTGTGCTTGTTTTTACAAAATTCACAGAATCTTCGTTCCTTTACAATATTTAGAATGACATCCACCTTCAAATTTTGAAAGATTATATGAAGGCATTCTTACTCTGATAAGTTGTCTTTATAAAGAGGAGGTATTTATTTTGTCAAATGATACTGCAAGGTTAGATAATCAAAAATACATGTATGCTTGTAAAAATACATTTTGGTGAACAATTAATTCCGGCTATATATATATATATATATATATATATATATATATATATATATATATATATATATATATATGATAATAATAATAATGATACATGTAACATGTCCTATTACGTCAAAATATTCTAACAGCACTTAATTTAGATTTAATGTTGACCCAATTAATAATGTATAAATCCTAGAGTTTCCAGGAGATATCGTTTTCATATTTTAATACTTTCTTTTCTTGAGGGTGGAAGTGGGGGTTGGTGAGTTGAATATACATGTACATGTGTACTTTCATATTTTGAATTTCATGCGAGGTTCAAAGTGTCTGGTGTCCGGTGACATGACAATGGGGTACAAAAGTAAAAATTGTCGATGTAAATAACTAGATCGAAATTGAAAACGGGTTTTGCTACTTATCACTTTTTTGATTTCTACTCAAGCTGAGAGAATGATCACTCAGAAACATATTAAATTGATTACTTGAAATTAAATGAATTTGAACATAAGAAAATTTGCATACATGTATTTATAATTACGTAAAATATGATTAAATACAAAAAGCTGCATATAATTCATAGACCAAAGTACTGGCTTATATATACGTGTACATGTACGTGTGTTCTGAATATGAATATATGAATATCACTAAGGTTTTTTTTTTTACCTTTTGAATTTCTGAAAAATCAAAACTGCTGCTTAAGTTGACAATCACAGGTACCTGTTTCTTTAGTATTTTTCCCTATAGTATAATAATAGCACAAGTTATCTAACTCCAAACTATATATGGAGTAACCCCCCCCCCCCCCAGCTCTCCCAGAATCGCAGTTATTTGCACGCTTTCGGAGAAAATGCACTGGCAATCTGTTTATTACCATTCTCTCCTACGATAATTTATCTACAACACCATATATGACAAGTTTTTCCTAAGTTTTTTATCACGGTAAACAGCATCATTAAACTCTGATCGCTGGAAAGAAAATTCAAACAGTTTGCTGGTCACTGCATTTTCTCTGAAAGTGTAATTGAAAGTGTAATTGAGTGCGATTCTGGGCAGGGGGTACTCCATGTAATAATTCAGAGTTACATGCTTTGCGTTTTAATTCCTTATACTAGAGAATAAAAACAAAATACGTACGGAAATAAAATCATGGCCGTATGAACCGGGGGGGGGGGGGGCACGGGGGGGCCTTGCCCCCCCCCCCCCCCCAATAATTTTGCCGATATATAGAATACTATAGAAAACATAGCTGCTATATGCTTGTGCCCCCTCAATAATAACGTCTGATGACCTTTTTTTTTTTTTGCTTGTCGGGGAATTTTGGAAGCTGATAGTGCCCCCTCAACTGAAAATGTATGGTTGTGCCCCCTCAAAGTGAAATTGCTTCCTACAGGCCTGAAAATGCCTGTGTTGACAATACATTTGATATTACTTGGACTCATGGTGACTGCATATCTGTTGAGAATGACATAATTTACTTTCTGGTTCTTGTGTTTGGATCGACGTCATGAATTGCACAAGTGTCATTCTTACCAATTAAATCATAAAAAAATGTCCAAAAATTATATGACTGTTTTTCAACATTTTGCATAGAACCCAAACTCTGATCTAAAATGTGCAATTATATAAAAAATGAACTGTTTCTAAAGATTATATAAAAACATACGCGCTTAGTTTCAGGATGGTGCATTTTGTGCATTATGTGTTAAACTCATTAAAATAAAAATGAAAAAAAAATCGCTGAAATCAGCACGTTAAAAAAAAAATCATATATCTGTATATAAAAAGAGTTGATTTGTGCCGTTGTCAAAAAAAATATTAGTCTGACATTTTGTACAGGTGATGTGCCTGCCCCCCCCCCCCCCCCCCCCCATCTGGAAAAAAAAAAATCTTGCCTGGATCCGCCCATTTATTACTCTTGATGTCAGTATACTTTCATAAAACTCTTTTGTAACTGGCTGGTGTAGAACTTGCCCAAAACTGTCTCATCGACGTTACAAGTGTAATTAAGGCTAATTTCTTTAATGCTTTTGGCATAGGTACCAACTGTGAATTAAGTGAAATAAAATATAATATAATATAAATTATCAAAAATTAAAACGTTTTTAAAAAAATAAAGGCGGGAATACAGCTTTGTCGATAGATGGCACTATTAATCTTTGTATTAAAAACGCTTGTAAAAACCCCTATCTGATATGCTAACAAAACGCTCGTGTGATTTCTTTATTGATCAGGCGAAGGTGAAAGACGGACGGACGCGGAGATAGATCCGCCATTTGCATTTCAGTTTGGCGGCCTAGTTTTCAATATTTCGTCTAGAGAGGGCGAAACGGCATCGGGGAATATTGGTAACTATATTTAATTCTCAAACAATATACAAATCAAACTATGGATGGTTTACTCTTTGTATGCACGGCAAGGAAATGTAAGAAAGTCGGATTTTGTATATTATTGCATTTGACCATACCGCATCCGGTTTAGGAATTGTAATTTTTAGACTTTAAGAAAATAAACACAGAAACCAATCGACTGAAAGTTCGATTCTGAATAAGTTATTTTAAAAGTCTGCATTTTGGATGTTTGAAGTCCCATTCATATTTTTAATCGAATATGCAAAT